AAGCTGTTGGATGTAGTAGGTGGCATTATGTGTTTGTATAGTTTTGAATTTTCCATGTACATTTTCTAATTGTATTACTTCTCACGTCTGTTCTACTTTTTCATGTTCTGTTTTTGGTTTACTTTATGACTAGGGTTAATTTACTTAATCTCTTCATGTCCTAGTTTTCTTGCCTACCAGCTTCAAAGACCTGCCTATGATTAATCATGAGCTGCTTTCATAAAAGATTTCTTATTTAGGTAGTTCTTCCATTTGAATCCAGATTCATTATTCTGCTTCACTTGAGCAACTGTCACTTAACTAAATTGTTGAACTGTTCCATTGTTCCTTTTTTATAGCAATAACTACTTACATTTTCGTTCCTGAGATATTGAGATATTTGCTATTTAGTTGGGGATCAGATTTATCATTTAGTTAATTTATGATGTGAATTGATACTTTGCTAATTAATGTGGATTTGCTGATTTTGCCCGGATTTAGAAGCCAAATGTTTTGTTAACATACTAGGAGGAAGTACCCTATTAAAGTAGTAGTTCTTTTGTAATTCATAAACTCCAGAATTCCTCAACAACCAAGTTGAGTGTTAACGGAAGTCACTAATTATTTTTTGATCATGGACGCACTTGCGTACATTTGCACATGGTAGGGGTTCTAGGCCATGATTGCTGTACTGTTCCATTGTGATGAAGAGAAACGTGCAATGAGAAAGTCAAGGCTTTTATGAATGATGGTAAACAGAAGAACTAGTGAAGCATCATCAGGGAGCATTGTATATGCAACAAGAAGAATGAATGTTAGTGAGGATTGCTCCTGACTTGATTGCTGTAGGCTGATGGATTTTTGCTATAGAAAACTGGATTCTAAGAGTTATCACTATATTGAATGTTTATAGATTTTATATATAAACTTTTCAAGTCTCTTTATTCCATATTCTGAAAATAGAATGAACCGGGCTAAATTAGGTCTTGCTTCCTACTGGAATGTTCATTCGTTCATTCATTCATTCACTTATAAAACATTCGTTGAACATCTCTGTATGCCAGGCACTGTGCTCTGTACATTCTGATCAGTATTACACCAGTAGTTAATAACTTGAAGGTAAGTCTTCCATGTTCATAAGTTCCTAAGGTGTAATCAGAAGGCATGAAAAAATAGCCATTGTTAAAGAAGGAGGGAGCATTGTTTTAATTTGAAACAAAGCAACACCAACAAACAGAATATTTCTTAGACATGACATACTACTCTTGCAAATTGACATTGAGTCATTGCTTGAATATTCCGATCTGCCAGTTCTCAAACTGTTAGAGGCCGATACTGGTTTGCTGAGCTTTTTTTTTTTAATGTGATAATTAATTTTATTTATTTATTTTTAAATTAAAACTTATTGGGGGTGATAGTGGTGCTTTTTGTAACCTTTATGCACTGTAGCTTTGAAGTAAAACTGTTAGAAGAAAGCTTTCACTCTCCCCCCATCCTCCTTAATTTAGGTTTGTATTTTCAAAGCATTAAGGGTAAAAATCTCTTTTTAGTTATGGGGAACAGGTGATTGTCTTTAAATAATGAGCTACATTTATTTTTGGAAATTTGCTTGACTGTCTCCTGGTGGCTGATTCTAAGTCGGTGTCTCCGCAGTGGCACCAATGACATTTTGGGCTGGATAATTCTTTGTCATGGGGGGCCGCCCTGTGCTCTGTAGGATTTAGCAGCATCCCTGACTTCTGCCCAGTAGATTCAAGTAGTTCACCTCCCCTCCACCCTCGCCGCAGTTGTGATAACCAGAAACGTCCACAGTTATTGTCAAATGTCCCTCGGGGGGCCACATCACTTGTAGTTGAGAACCACTGCTCTAAATTCTTAAAGCAGACTTATTGACCACAGCTATTTGTGAGCTAACCGCAAATCAGCTGCTGCAGTACTGGATGTGTGTTTATGTGAATCCTTCCAGCTTCTCTTCTGTTCTGATGGCTATTGCTTCAGTCCCCTGAACAATCCTTGCTGTCCTGAACTCCTTGCCCAGAGCAATTGTGCCAGGACAAGCAGAGGTAGTACGCACACTATATTCCTGGAACCCATAGTGGTTGTTCTTAATGGACTTGCCTTTTAATGGACTTTAATAAGCTTGCTCAAAAAACTGGATATGAAATCGAGGCCAAAACACATTTGATATTAGACCTTCTGCTCTACCTAGGGCTTCTAAGGGACAAGCAGGTCCTGTTGATTTGATTTACTTTGTAAGTTGGATGAAAAATTGGATACACTCTAGGTATCATGTCCTGAACATTTTCGTTTTTACATTTTATTTTATATCACAGACATTTTAGTTTTTGTTTCTTGTTTTTAAAGGAAATGTTAGATTGTTTATCGGATTGTCAAGGTTGGCTAATAAACAGCGTCATACAACATGGTGCTCGTTAAGCAGAGGGATTACTTACTGATGTTCACACATCTAGTAAACGGTGGAATTGCAATTTGAACTCAAGCTTTTCTGATTGACTCCAAAGTCATGCTTTTAAAAGTCCTCTGTATTAGTGCTTCTCAAAATTTCACGTGCATAGTAATCGCCTGGGGATCTTGTTAAAATGTAGGCTCTGACATGGTAAGTTTGGGGTGGGCCTGCAGTTCTGCATTTCTAAGAATCTTAGGCTATGCCTGATGCCCGAGTTGCTGGTCTTTGAATCACACTGACTACCAGAGCTCTGAGCTATGTGTATGTACCTGGATTTTGCTGTAGATAGTTCTCCTGGTGCTTAACCCACAGAATTGGTCATCTACAATGGAGTAGTCAAGAATTGGATTTTTCAGTTATTTTTTCTTCATTTTAAGCTATGTGTATTCACTACTGGATTTTAAAGTGTATATTCACTGCTAGATTTGATGGGGAGCTTTGTTCACCTGAACCGGCAGAATTGCAGTTCTGTGTTAAGTGAATGCTAGGCATGTTAGGAAAGTAAAATGAGCGATGTGATGAGGGTAGTTTGCTGAGGGTGTTTAAGTGAACAGCTGCTGTAGTCCATTGATTCTAAGGTGGACATTATTTTACATTTTAACATCACTGAAATCAGATGTGTCTTTAGATAGATGGCGTTTTACCATTGCTGAGGCTGGCATTTAGCTTCTGCTCCTTCTGGCCAACCCCTCCCACCCCCCACCTCTCCCCACACACTTCCTGGGAACCAGCCTGGCAGCTACTGTAGTGTATACTTGGCTGGCTGCTCCCCCTCCTTGCTCCTGTCTTTGTCCTGACCCAGGCCTCAGTGCCTTTGTTCCGTCACTTGCTGAATCGACGCCCCCGGAGACTTGAGCTACAAGCTCAGGGATTTATACTGGTCAGATGTGCTGCAGGGCAAGATGATTTCTGTGTCTATCTCTGGGCTCTGACATCTGTTCTGTATAGTAGCAAATCTATTACAGATCCTTCCTTGTCTGGACTTGGGAGGAACTCCTTTGGGACAGAGGCAAAGTCTTAAAATCTCTTTAGTAAAGTAAACATTCTAAGTGATAAACTATTTCATGTGCTTTCTTATTTAGCAGCATTTTTCTTTTCTTGATGGTACACAAATTAATAATGCATTTTCCATGGGGCTTTGGTTTAATGAGATTTATAAATTTAATGTAAGGTTAGCAGAAAAAGACTGATCTGGAGTTAGAAGGTAGGCGTCAGAATCTAGCTCTGCCACTTGCCAGTTGTCCACATATAAATAGTGAGAGGTTGGACCCGAGGATCTCCAGGGCCCTTCCCGCGCTCAACTAATTGGATTCTGAGTGTGCTAGAATGAATTAATTGAAGTAGAAGGACACTGCTTTAAGAGCACAAAAGTGATTAATTTTGACAGGGGGCTGCGAATGGCAGGAGGCATTTGATGAGCTGGGTCTCCAGGGGGAGAGTAATTTTGGTAGAAGAATAGGAGAAAGAGTATTTTAAGCTGAAGAGACAACACTTGTTAGGTCATGGGGGGGAGTACCTTTGAAACCGTTAATAAACTTTTAGACCCCGAGTATAATTACATTCATCAGGCTAAGTAGAGGTGATCCTCAGTACAAGTAAAACATTTTGTTGAAAGTAAGATGACCCATCCTGGTTTTCTAAAAAGATGACTCCTCAGGAAGTTCTCTTTGTTTCTGGTTTTTGAGAATAATACGATGGTGTCTCATTAGTTGGATTAATTAGCTATAGATACCATAAAGATAAAATGAGCTATCAAAGTACTGTGAGTATGGCCACCCTCGTCAAGGTGAATAGCAAGGACTGTCTACATTGTAGGAAGCTGCTTATGTGAGATGTGGTTTAAATACAGTTTTTTAAAATTGTAATGTTCTGTTTGGGCACTAATCTTTATTTATGAAGAAAATACTGCTTTGCATATATTGGTCACTTTGGATAGAGAGAGTCTTTGAATTGGGATTGCCATGGACACAGAAGCTATTAGTTTTACTGAATTTCGGTACACCTTGAAAGAAAAAACTTGTATGTGTAGTCAGTGTTGTGAGGAGGGATTACAAAGGTGAAGGAATTAACAACAATGGGATAGGCAATCCTTTTTTTTTTTTTAAATATCCAAAAAAGGCCTTAAGAATTGGTCAGAAATAGACCCAAGGGATTTCCGAGTTTGGTTTCAAAGTTTATGAGCAAACGGGGAGATTCCAGAGCTGAGAATCATAGTATCAGTTCTACTCTGCCACCTTGTGTCCTCTTGGGAAAGTTATTTTTATTTTCCCTAGACTGTGTTTATCGTGTATGTAAAATAATACTCAGCTTTAGCTTGTTTCACAAGAAAATAAGTTAGCAGATGAATAAAGCTTAAAATGTGAAATCCTTAATCATTTTCTAAGCTATAAGGCAGGTTTTATTCCTGAAAGTCATGTGCTAGATTTTACAAGTGGTAGGTAAGCAGGCAAAATTACTCAGTAAATTTAGCCAGTCTCCTTTGACCTAAAGGCAGCTTTGCTTTTGCGCTGTATGATGCAGCATCGATCTTAGCGTTGTTCCTTCCTTTTTACAGGTGGTCCGTACTGAGAAGAACAGTTTGAATAATCGATTCTTGCCCTGGAATGAAATTGAGACCGAGGCCATCCTGTCTATTGATGACGACGCTCACCTCCGTCACGATGAAATCATGTTTGGGTTTCGGTGAGGAGCTGATTTTCAATCAAGAATCACTTTCATTTGCAAGTGATAGGAAACCAAGTCAGACCTGAATCAGGCAGCCAGATGGATTAACTGGCTGAGAAATCCTTAGAGGTGGTAAGGGCTAACCGAAGACGCAGCTGGATCGAGGGTCTTAGGTGATGTCAGAAAACCCCATTTCTCTTCCTCTGTAGGTTCTGCTTTCCTCTGTGTTGCCTTTGCTCTCATAGGCTCTTGCTCTGAGGCCAGGGAGATGGAATTCTGTGATTGGCTGGACCAGAGTTACCTGCCTGTCCCTGGAGCTGCGAGTGGATCATCCTCTCACCAAAATCCATATGGAGTGTGGGTGAAAGCAGAGGGTAGTGCCCTGCAGGAAACATGAGGGCCTTATGTTTAGAGGAATGGAGGCTAACTCCCAGGCAGGCAGAAACAACACGTTGCTGTGTATTGGAGCAATGGAACAGTGCCAGAATCCTGGGGCCTGAAAGATTTGGGGAAAGATGGGTCTGCATGCAAAGATCCAAGAAGAAAAGGGAGGAGGAGGAGAAGGTGGTTATCATCCGTGGCAGTTGTTGAACAATTTGTGTGCCAGGGACTAGTTGGGTATTTGGTCTGGTTTATCTCATTAATCCTCCTAAAGCTTGATGATGTAAGCTGTAGGCATCTCCATGTTACATAGGAGTAAATTGAGATCCAAGAGAACCAAACCATGAAGCTAGAAAGTAAATGGCAGAGCTGGAATTCTGAAACAGGTTTGTCTGACTCCAGAACTTCCACTCATCCACTAAACTATACCTTTTTCTTGAGTTTAGTGGTTCTTTTTTTTTTTTTTTTTAAAGATTTTTATTGGGGAATTGGGGGGATGGGAACAGTGCTGGGGAATTGGGGGAAGGGGAACAGACAAGTTGCTGTCATTTTGTTCTTCAGTCTAGTTGTGGAGGACGTTGCTTCACTGGCCCAAGTTGGCACCATCATTGTGCTCTTCTCTGGGGAGGCAGATCAGTCGCTGGCTTCTGGACGGCCGCTCACTGCGGCTGCTGGCCGCTCACGCTGGCTGCTGGCTACATACGGTAGCCCATGGCAACCCACTGCCACAGGGACTGCAGCCTATGCCGTCGCCGGCATACAACTCATGGCAGCCCAGCTCTAGGTAGAGCTGTTTGTTGTTCAGCATCTTAGCTGTAGAGGGCAGTGTCACTGGCCCTCATATATGGGATCCGAACCGGGGCCCTCTGGCATCCCAAGGTGCCACTCGGCCAGCCTGAGTTTAGTGGTTCTTATTGGGGCTTACATAGCCCACTTGAGGAAGCATTGCAGGCGAGAGAGAGTAGTACGTCATGGCGTGGTATGCTCGCCCATGGACAATTATTACTTGTCCACAGCGAGGTAGGTACTAAAGTTGAGGGTAAGCATTTAAAAACTTGTAAAGCAATTTGACATTTACCATGACACCCAAGTTTCCATCATTTATCTTGCGATTCACTGTTGGGTAACAGTTATTGAATGTAATTCGTACATCATACAGTTCACTCATTTAAATATACCATTCAATGGTTTTCAGTATATTTCCAAAGTTGTGCAGCCATCACCACAGTGCATTTTAGAAATCTTCATTACCACCAAAAGAAACCCTGTACCCATTAGCATTTCCCTCCAACCCCTCTAAGCCCTGGGCAACCATTAATCTACTTGTGTCTATAAATTTGCTGATTGGCACCGTAAAATATGCGCCTTTTTGTAACTAGTTTCTTTCACTTAACATAGTATTTTCAGAGTTCATCCATCTTGTAGCATGTGTCAATACTTCATTCATTTTATATGGATATACACAGTTTATCCACTGATGGACATCTGGGTCATTTCTACTTCTTGGCTATTGTGAATAATGCTGCTGTGGACATTCATGTACAAATTTTTGTATGAACATTTCCTTTTTCTTGGATATATACTTAGAAGTGGAATTGCTGGATCTTAGGCTAACCTTTTGTTTAACATTTTGAGGAACTGATAGACTGTTTTCCAGAGTGGCTGCACCATTTTGTATTGCCATCAGCCGTGTATGAGGGTTCCAGTTTCTCCACATCTTTGTCAACAGTTGTTATTTTCTGTTATTTATAGCCATCCTACTAGGTGTGAAGCGGTATTTCAGTATAGTTTTGATGTGCATTTCCCTAGTGACTAATGATGTTTAGCATTTTTTCATGTGTTTAGTGACCATTTGTATATCTTCTTTTAAGTGCCTATTCATGTCTTTTGCCCATTGTTAGATGTCTTTTTATTATTGAGTTGTAAGGGTTCTTTATGTATTCTAGGTACAAGTCACGTATCAGAGGTAAGATTTGCAAATATTTTTTCCTATTCTGTGGGTTGTCTTTTCACTTTCTTAATGGTATCCTTCAAAGCACAAAAGTTTCATTTTCATGAAGCCCAATTTATGTTTTCTTCAGTTGTTTGTGCTTTTGGGCTCATATTTAAGAAACCATACGATTCGTTTTTATTGTATTTTACAGAAATGATAATTCATAATAAATCGGGGGAAAATGAGTTCTTCACCAAAGATAGTTTGGGAATCATTGGAGTAGATTTCCTTGGAGATCTTGTTCAAATTAAGTATGGGTTGGAATGGAGAACTCTTTTCTCTGTGCCTTTGTTCTGCTCACTGAAAACCTGACCTATCAGCTCTCAGGTGTCCTTTCGTACATCTTGATAAGTGCAGATGCTCAGATGAAAGGAGCAGCAGCGTTATTGCTCTATTTTTCTCAGATGTATCTAAAAAGAATTATGTGACACATTTCTGAGAAAACATGTATTCTTTCTTTTCCCCACCCAACTTCTCACATTGCCTTTGACATCTTTCTACTAATTTTTGAGGCAAGTGTCTGTTGTTAGCTGTGATAAAAATCCCACCAAACTGGAGTATGTTCCTTTGTACCATGATAATAAATAGCCAGTACTCTCTACTGTTTTTATGAAAGGAGGCAAGCCATGTGATGATTCCAGAAGTGGTCTTTACCATTACACTTTTTGCTGTGGGTGGTGGTGAGGGAGGGGGAGACGGTGTATTTCTGATACAGCATGGTACAGATTAGAACATGCTAAATGACTCGGAGCTGTGAACGAGGCATGGGATGTTGATAGGAGAACTGCTAATCACCTCTAGGTCCCAAGAATGATTTAGATTAGGAGTCCTGCTTTGATGAGTTTGGAGTTTATTAAGATAGCTGGCATTTGCTATTTTTTGTGGCTCTTGATTTAGGAAGACTTGACCTCTCCACTTGTCAACAGATTTCCAAGTGGTGAGAGAATAGTGGAAAGCCTTTTAATGTCTTTCTTAACAATCATTGGAAATTTGCGGTTTAGCCTCTGGTTATTGGAACTTATGAATGATCTCTGGCTTTACATCCTAACCTTTTATCACCCTGATCTAAAAGCTTTTTCTTATTAATCTCCCTAGTTTTCTTATTTCACCTGAATGGGTTCAAAAGGAAAGGGCAGGTATAACAAAAATTTCTCTCTCTGGCAAAAGGTAACATGGATCTTGGCTGACTTCAGCTTATGTAGCAGAGAAAGAGGCAAACGTATTCTTAAGGAACAGATAAAGGGGACCCAAGAAAATTGAAGACATATATCCATACAAAAAGCAATACATGAATGTTCATAGTAGCATTGTTTATAATAATAAGTATAAACAACATAAAAGAATAAATATGATATGATTTTACTTACATGGGACATAAGTAAAATCCAGAGACAGAAAGTAGAATGGTGGTTGCCAGGGGCTGGAGGAAGGCAGGAATGGGGAGTTAGTGTTTAATGGGTACAGAGTTTCTGTTTGGGAAGATGAAAAAGTTCTGGAGAAGGATGGGTGGTAGTTGTACAACAACGTGAGTATACTTAATACCACTGAACTGTATACTTAAAATGGTTAAAATGTAAGTTTTATGTTAAATAGACTTTGCCATACACAAAAAAATCAGTTGTCAAAAGAAACAAACACACAAGAAGTGTAAATAACCCAAACGTTCACCAACTGATGAATGGATAACCAAAATGTAATATATCCATACGATGGAATATTATTTGGCAATAAAAAGGAGTAAGTACTGATCCATACTATGACACAGGTGAACCTTGAAAATGGGCCAAGTGATAGAAGTCAGTCATGAAAGGCCACAGATTGTGGGATTCCATTTACATGAAATGTCCATAATAGGCAAATCCATGGAGACTGAAATAGATTAGTGGTTGCCATGGGCTGGGGAGATGGGGAGATGGGGAAATCGGGAGTGACTACTAATGGTTATGGGGTTTCTTTTGGGATTGATGAAAAACATTCTGATATTAGATAGTGATGATGATTGTTGCACAGCTCTGTGAATATACTAAAACCCAGTGAGTCGTATGCTTTTAGATGAGTAAATATGGTATGTGATTTTGTAGCTCAACAAATTTTATTTAAAAAAAAAAAAAGACAGGATAAGCTGAAGAGATGCTGTAGGATTGTGGACTAGAAAGTAGTTCCTCTTTTTGGATCCAAATATCTCTGTTATCTTGGACCCAGGATTTTTGAATTCCATAATTGGATCTGACACTGATGTTTTCCTCTACGCTTCATGGCTCTGCTTTATGAGTTTTCTTTTCCAAAGGGAGTTAACAAAAACATTTTTTCTTCACCATGGTTTGGTATAGGTTTTTTATTATTTTGGATAGGAGGAAAAAGCTTACATATTATCATAATGTAAGAAACATGGGGTTTGGAAAAGACACTCTTGTTTTAGATAGTCAGGAAGCAAAATCTCACCTTACATTTTTTTATACATTTGAGTTTTAGTTGATTTTACACTTTATTTTCTCATTGTGTTTCAAATCATTTGGTTCTTAATGAACCAGAGGGAAAAACATGGATGTATAACCCAAAAGGACAAGAATGTCTCTTTGTAGGATAAAGTCCATATTACTTTCATGTACTGTAATATGTGAAATATTTAGTGACCTTTTTCTCCAAACTATTTTGCCTAAGTTTTGAAAATCAGAAAATAAGTTTTAAATTAAAACTTAATAGTAACATGACCTTTGTTTCATTCAGGTAATTCATTAAAGAATTGTTTTGAGTTGGACAGACTGGCACAAAATATGTATTTGGGATATATATATAACTTAACTGACTAATATGGAAATGTGCTAAATAATGTGCCAAAGTTCGTACCATGAAAAGGTTGAATTGATGCATTTATTTCAAAGGTGATAGTATTTAAATTTGAAATGTTAACAGGATATTAGTCATGATTCAGGTTCTTCAGTGGAACATTATCTTGATTTCATTATTTAAAAATTTCTCTGTAGTTGTTTGGTGAAGTTATGTTTATCCAGTGAATTTTCTTTGTTTTTAAGTTTGAGCTATGAAACTTTTCCTCTAACATAGTGTGTAGGTAGTTATTCTTCTTTCAACACAGTTAAAGAATAATTCATTAAAGGGAAGGTTTAAAGCCAAAGCATGATCTATGATGCAGCACATAGATTAAAAACATTTAGTGCAGTATAAGTTTGAATATAATGTTATGGAAATGATCCTGTGTAACCCTTTTAAATGCAGATTGGTAGCATTATTTATAATCAATATTATTAAATGCCTGACTTTCAAATATCCATCGAGACTGTACTATCTAAAACTCTTGATGCATCATCCCAGGAATTTATTTAAGCCTATATTTAAGTTGAGTTTATCTTGTGCCAGTGATTCCACATTGATTTTTTTTCTTTATTATTTAATAGATAATTAATAACCGGTCAACCATCTCATGGTTGGCAACCTTTAACAAATGAGATATGTTACCTTTTGATACTGTATAGCAAATGAGATTTTGCTTTATTAAGAACTGTCTATATTATATTGACTTAAATCAGCCAAAACAGATGATTGAAATATTCAGTTTTCCTTTCTTTCTTCCACTATTTCAGGACCAGTAGGAGCAATCGACATTGGAAGAATGCCTAGAATCAGAATTTTCAGGAGTATTGATATAACATTTGGTTATGCCAGTGGTACTTATTAGCAATCCTTACATCCTGGATATGACAAATTATATTATGAAAATATCTCAGCTTTTTAGGTTAGTAATTTGGAGTCAGTTTTAGGAGATAAATGATAGAGGTAAGGATTTGGGTAGGAAGTGGCAGAAAATCCATCTAGGAGGCTGTTAACGTTGTGAATATAAGTTGTGGTTTCTCACCTGGTGGACTAGATTAGTTGCTTTCAAACTTCATAGGAGAGGAATTCTTTTGAAATGAAATCATATGTGTTTTAGGAATTGAAGTTCCATAGAAGTGATGAGGGAGTTTCTCAGGTAGTTTAAATCTCCCTTTGGGGGTGAGGTGGAGAGGGGAGGCGATGGTTCATTGTTTACAGGACTCCTGTACCACTTCTACAGTGCTGTGGGGTCTGTGAGGCAGAAATACTTTAGCTGTGTGATGTTAGCCTGGGAAACTGGGGAACTCATTTTATTTGCTGTACTTTACCTGCAAATTTGGGGATGATATTAAAGTTTATCCTGGAAACATACTGAATTCTCAGTTTGTTTCTTGCGTTTATGAAGTCTTCCATTTGTGTGGTCCTGTAGACCTCTTTTCATGGTACAGGTTTCTCCCTCAGCTCAGCTCAAATCAGGAATTAAGACCGTTGCACCTTACTCCAGGCAGCAGTCTCCTGTGGTTAGACCAGTGGTTCCTAAGCTTCTTTTATGGCGTACCCTCTCAGTAAAAGCTAAGTATGCAGTATGCATAAATTATATACAAATTCTATTGTAGTAATCTATCATGCTCATTAAAAACAAATTCTTTTTTTAGAAATTGAATACGATTAAAAATAAATAGAAATAAAAGTTGATGTCTTATTCCTGCTCCTTAGCCGATTGCAGTACACACCCCACTCTGGAGACCTTGACTTAGCTGCCTCCCATGTTATCCCAGCTTGTTCTTTCTGTGAGGGCTGAGAGATGCTGGCTGCCAGGAGTTAGAGGAACAGTATGCAGGTGCTTATTAGGAAGCTACATGTGACACACTTTATTTGTTTATCCTGTCTGGCTTGTGACTACTTTTATTATTATTTTTTTTAAAAAAAGGAGAAAAGAAGTAAGTTACAGCCTAAGGGCCAGAGCCTGCAAGCTAGAGAGAGTAATTTTAAAAGCTTTTGATAATCTTAAGGCTTTGTACTGAGGTGTGTGCATGTACTTGTGTTTTTTGAGGGTGTGGAGAGAAGCACGGGACCGCATTGTGGGTTTCCCTGGCCGGTACCATGCGTGGGACATCCCTCATCAGTCCTGGCTGTACAACTCCAACTACTCCTGTGAGCTGTCCATGGTGCTGACAGGTGCTGCCTTCTTTCACAAGGTAAGAAAAAAGTTTGGTAAGAATGGCAAGAACTTGGTGAGAGTTGAGCCTTTGTGTGGTAGCGAAATGCTACTCTGAAGTTAGCTTGCCTAGTGCTTCTTACATGCCCCTTCTATGCTAGAAGTAAGTTATTTCTATTTTTATAGACAGCAGTCAAGATGCTTAGAGCAACTTTGGACTAAAAAGTCAGGATGAGAAGGCTGCCTGTACAATCGCATGTAGGCCATTAGGAAAATCAGTTCATCTTTCTGGGAATTAGCTGTCCCTCTGGAAAACAGAGTACTGGGCTAAACTACCATCTGGTTTCAACACTGCCATTCCAGACATGGCCTGGCCAACGGAAGGCTGAACCTGGTACACTTCTGACCTAGGCTAACCACCACTGTCCCAGGCTCCACCATAAGCCTCTGTCTATTGTGGGTCTGTACATCCTGTTTGATTTATTAGAGCTTGTAATGTTCACCATGCCTCACATCCTGATTTTCATTGAAGATCTAAAATGTAAACCCCTCCAGTTGTTAATCTTCCCCTGTACTGTTACCGCTAAACTGTTCTATTTTTTGGGGGGGCTTCTGACTCATCTTCCTTGTGCATGTCATCTATTCTATAAAGCAGCCACTGGCCACATGTGGCTGTTGAGCACTTGAAATGTGTCTGGTCAGTATTGAGACGTGTTGTATGTGTAAAGTACACACCAGATTTTGAAAACTTAGCATGAAAGGAAGAATGTAAACTATCAGTAATTTTTTATGTTGATATGCAATTATTTTGGATACACTGGGTTCAGTAAAATATACTACTAATGAACTTTACTGTTTCTTTTTGCTTTTAAAAATGTGACTACTAGAAAATTTAAAATGACACGTGTGACTCACCTTCTGTTTGTGTTGGATAGTGCTGCTCTGTACCATCTCCCCAGTCCTTCCTCGGGGCTCTGAAGAAACCCGATTCTGCGAGCCAAATCGCCTACACCCCCCGCTTCACGGACACATCCTCTATTTCCCTGACCTGTTTAAAACCTGACTTTTCTCTGAGGACAGTGCTTCCCTTTTAGCCTGTTCTGAATTTCTTCCATGAACAGGAGTTGAGGCTACTCATTTCCCCAGATTTGTACTTTCGAGCAGGGAAGGTATACGGAACTATTTTCATTGCTTTCCAGTGACGTAATTCTCAGCTGCTGCGTAAACTCTTATTTGAGACTTGTGGCACCTGTCTTGTTGCTGCCATCTACCAGCCTTGTAATTATCCCCTCACCGTCATCAGGGATATTGGCGCCTGGCCCATCATCCTGATCTCCACTCCGTGCCCTGTCATTCTGGGCATCTTCATTGCCCTCGTGGGAGACCACCCACCACACTCACTGTCTTCCCCATAAGTGCTGAAGTGTCCCGGGGGACTAGCTTCTATCTAATGCTCTGATTACTTTGTGTTTTCCTTAGATGTTCTCATGCTCTCAAGGTCTTGTGGCTTTTCTTAGCACCTACAAGTTGACGATTTCTGTATCTTTATTCTAGGGTTGGCCCTTCCCCAAGATCTGTGCTCGTATATTGTTTCCAGGACATCCCTGTATGTCCCTCTGGTACTTCAAACCGAATCCCCCACCCTGAGAGCTCATCATCTCACCCCGCCCAACTCCCTCAAACCTTTTGTCTCTCCTATATTTCATATCTCAGATGGTGGCATCTTGCAAGGCATCTCAAATAGAACCTTGAAAATCATCTTACTAGGGACATTTTGAACCGGCCTACGAAGTCATTAAACATTCAGGTTTTTGTTTTCTTTTTAAAACATGACGTGCGAAGCCGATATGATCATCCGATTCTTGAACCTGGCCCTTGTGCTTATTTTCCAAACTTGGCTGGGCTGTGGTTGGGCTGGGGATCGCACGTACGATTAGGGAGGATCTGGCCGAGAAACCATGCCTAACTAGGAGTCGTTTAGTTTCGCCTCTGAGAAAGGGCCACTAATTTTCGCAGTGTACATGCATACCTTCAGAATTTACTTTTCTACTGAAATGTGTGCCTTCTCAAATTCTCCGATTGCTCTTTAAAAGTTTCAGTAGTCAGATCTCTTTACTTTCAAGTAAGAAGTGATTCACTGAGTAAAAGTTAGGTTTTCTTCTATTTGAAAAGCCAGAGCAGAGGTTATAAACCAGCAGTCCTCAAACCTTATTGAAATGTTTATTTCGCCCCCCAGTGCTGCCCCATACACTGCCAGGCTTTAAAAACTGAGGAGTTTGCAAATAGACCTGGACCTTACTGGAAGTGAAGATTAGGCCATACTGGGCAGTGCTTCTGCCTGGCACCAACTGGCTGGAGTTGCGTGGTCAGTGTTCCCTGGAGGTGGGCACGTATGTGCATATTTGCCCCACGACTCTTTATTTTTCTTACACCCATTTTTAAAAATGTCACTTATTTATTGCCTTACTTGTTTGGTCCTTGAAAGCAATTCAGTTGATTATTCCCTAACCTGGAGCGACCAAGTGTTTTTATTGTAAGTGCCTATCAATAAAAATTTTGAACCTGTACCTCACAAATGTATATATTATTTATAAATTATATTTATATATGTGTACTACTGTACTTCTAGAAATTTTTATAAGGTTGAGATAAAGGTAAAGTTTCAAAGTAATATTCTCACTCAATCCTTAAATTTTGGTGAAAGTGATGTGATTGAATATGTTTTATTTTTAAAAATCTTGATTTGACACTGTGTGTTATGGCAAGTCAGAGGTCTTTTTCTAAGTTAAGCATATTTTTGATACTTGGTTTTAATCACTATCCCTGGTGAAATACCTTATTGCTGGGCTTACTGAGTCATGATACTCATTCACAAATTTGGTAGCATTTTGTTAAAATTGACTAGAATTTCCATCTTCTATGATGCCAATGGGAGGGATTCACCCTTAGGCTGATTGGTTGTGACGACTGGCTGTGATTACGGTGGAGGAACAGTGATTACGGTACAGAGGCTGACCCTACAGAGCAGGATTCGCTTTAGCAGAGCTCTGGTGCCTGCCCAGTCTGCCCTTTGGGTGGATTGTCCTTGGAGGCTGCTGGGCGATGCTCTGGCTTGTCCGAAGTTGGCTACTGGGTGTGCCCATTCCTAGGGCCTCCTGGGAGGGGCTGCGCCTCAGGCCATGTTCAGCCATAACATGTGCCCTACCTGGGGCTACCTGGCATGAGCCACAAAGCAATCCACAGATGGCCGCCACCCGTGCTGGACTTGGAGGTACCTCAGGAGGCCCAGCTGTGAACCGAGACCGGCTGCTGCTAGTGCCGAGCTTAGGGCTGCTCAGCCAGAGGTATGGGGCACGCAGAAGCCAGATGCTGCTTGTTTGGGGTTTGTGAACCTTTGAGAGATTTTAGAAAAGTCCGCAGCATGAGCCAGGACAGGCTGTTTGTACAGAAAAGCCTCTGGAAGTGGCTTGGGTTAATGCCCAAAAATTGGGTCAGGCGGGGTCTCTGGGAATTACCTGGGGGCAGGGCAAATGAGCGGTGTTACCCAGGTTAATGGAGACTTGACTAACATATGGTGTCTGCTTGCGTCTGCACACTGGGAGGGGAAAGGGTTTAACAAAGAAACAGTGGCTTCCACTAGCTCCTTCATTTGGGAGAAAACTGCCTCTCCACCCATTGTCCTGAAGCCAGACAACTCAGTTTCTACCCATATGTCCCTGGCATCTTTTCAAGCTGCTGCTTCAGCACTGGAGCTCAGAGCAAGTGAGTCCATGCGCAGGCCCTTTAAGAGGAATGCCTGGACTGAAGGCTTCCTCATCTCACTCAGTAACAATTTCCGCTGGTTTTTACAGCCAGAAGTTATGGGGACTTTTCTCCCCGGCACTAGAATGTGGGGCTGGGACTCCAGGGAGCACCTCCGCAGCTGAGATATCCCTCCCAATTTTTAATAGTCACATATGGGTGTGGGAGCAGCCCGTTCTGCGTCTCTGTTCCTCCTCTCAGTCTTGAGGTGGCTTCTCCTGTTATAGGGCTTTGGTTCAGCTAGACTTCAGGTGATTCTCAATGATGGCTGTTCTGTAGCTTAGTTGTAATTTTGATATGGTCATGAGAGGAGGCAAGCACAGTGTTTACCTGCTCCACCATCTTGCCTGGACAGCTATAATTCACCTTCTAAGTTCACCATCTCTTAAGTACTTTGCCTCAAGATAACCAGCAAACCTCTGTGTGCTACAAAAATTTTATGATCATTATAGATTCCACTATTTAAGGTAATAGAATATATAAATCAATTTTATTGGGCACCTGACCTATTCACTCATTATCAGCATATTGGCAACACATCTCAGTTAACATGTGCCTTGTTTGATAGCATTTGCCCATTCTGTGGTGTAAATATTCTTACCATGGCTGATTTTAAGTTATCAACATGAGTAGCTAAATATGGAGTTGGGAACAGATGGGCAGTTGCGTACTGTTATATCTGGTATTTTCACCATACAGATATGATGGACATAAAGAACCTCAAGATAACAGTAAAATATAATAAATAATAGTAATATGTAACAAATTAGTTAAGAGTTGATGAGATTTAGGTATTTTTAAAAATAACATTAAAATTTAATTTTAAGTTTAAGTATAATTTTAATAATGGCTATTTTTCATAACAAGCTCACAAAATTCCTAAATACTTTCACAGAATTCTTGAAAATCGGCATTCATTAGCGGGTGTGAGCCAGTGACAGCATCCCACTTTGTGGGCCTTGCAGGACATTTAAGAACTTAGATTTTTACTCGGAGCGAGATGGGAACGCCACTGAAGAGTTTAGAGTAAAGGAGTGCGGTTGACCTTGTGTGTTAACGTGACCGCTTTGCTGTGCTGAGAAGACTGTATAGAAGACAATATGGCAGCAGGGAAACTGTTTAGGAGACTGTATGAATAGTCCAGTGAAGAGATAATGGTGGCTTGGAGCAGGGAGTAGCCTGTGGCGATGGCGAGAAGTGATCAGAGTCTGGAATCTGTGAGACACTGAAGGATGGGATGTTTCAGTGAGTTACTGAGAAGTCGGAGGCGATAACCAGGCTATCCTGTATTGCCACTGTCAGAGATAGAATGTTGTTCAGCTGAATCGGTGTCTGACCTAACTTGATACATCTTTATATTGTTGCAAAATCACTGCGGTACCAAGGAGATTAAATGAAATTCGGATTCTCAAAGTGGGTGATAATGGCAGCCTGGATGGGAGAATTCCTCATTGAAGAAGCCCCACCTTGTAGGATGTTTAGCATCCCTGGCCCCAACTCCCTAAGTGCCAGTGATTGCCACCTCCACCCCCCAACTTCCTAACAGCTCCCAGATCCGTGAATATTTTTGCTGAAAGCCGAAGAACTGTGGCCTCTAACAGAGTGTGTGATTCTTTCTCTACCCCTGACAGTATTATGCCTACCTGTATTCTTACGTGATGCCCCAGGCCATCCGAGATATGGTGGATGAATACATCAACTGTGAGGACATTGCCATGAACTTCCTTGTCTCCCACATCACTCGGAAACCCCCCATCAAGGTGAGGGTTCCACCACCGATGGGACTGGGGGTGCATGCACACTTAATTCATATAGTTTGCCGTAGTGCAGTATGTAACTCTTCCTCCGAGTCCTCATCTGTAGAATGGGGATAAGGATACCACCAACCATATAGGATTGTCTCGGGGTTAAAGGAGTTGTTAATACAGCGACTCTTCACTCCTAAGGTATAAAATGGATAGAATTCCGTGTGTTTGGAAAGTGCATGGGAAAAATGTTCCATCTTTAATTTTTACTAATCTCTATCTGCAGTTTAGCATTTTCATCAGTTATGAAACAGGCTACACTTCCTAAGAGTATTTGCAGTAACTGCATTTTGTCACCAGTAGTACTCACAGGTATTTTATACCACATTGTATTTGTTGCCACATTTCAAAGTATCATTTGTGTTCATCACTGCTTTGAAATCTTGGTAGTTATTAACTTCTAGATCTTCTTGCTTAGTGCATTGATAAAAGAGCACATATATTAGTGTATTTCAACATAACTTGTTTCCTTAGAATCTCTTGTACTTTATTATATGCATTTAAAAACATACTGAGGTGGAGCCTGCAGGCTTCACCAGATTCCAAACCAGAGTGGAGGGGAGTCCATGGCACCAAAATTTAAGAATCTCTGAGTTAATTTATGTAGAGCTCTAAGAATAGCGCCTGACAAATAAGTAAGTACTGTATAAAGTATTTACTCCAAAGCAAAAATAAAAGGGCCCTCAGAGTTCTAGAAATTTGAGTTTTGTTTTTGTCTTTGACTAGCTGAATTGATGTCATCAGAAGGTACCAGTGTCATACTCAGCGCACAGAAAGACCAATCCCATCACCCTCTCTGTCACCACCGCAGGTTAAGACAAGTGAAGCTCTCCGGAGAGGGTTGGGGTAGGCCCCCGTAAGGGCCTTGCCACGATTAATATTAGAGAACCTGAGTGTCAATTCAAATTAATAGAGTTTAGTGACTGTGATGTCAGTGTTGATGTTATGGAATCATACCTGGTGTCCCTATAAAGATGAACAAGTGAATTAAGGTCTTATTTTCATTATTGTTAAACAGGCCTATTTAACTTTATAAAATAATAAGTTTACCTTTATGGATATCCTTAGTGCCATGAGGAAATAATAATTGGGTGCATATTTCATTCTTCTATTTTGAAGGTAAGTTCTAGACTTAGTAGCCACCAGCCTGTACTAATAATGATAATCAAATCATCCTGTTACTGGGAAGTGGGGTGGTAACCAGAGGACACTGGGTCTTATGCAGCAAAGCCTAACAGATCAAAAAACATTTGGGGGCCTTATGCATGTGTTTATGCCTAATCAAACCTTTTCTCAAGCATGGCTCAGGGTTGTAACTTAACTCCCGATTACTCCATAGTTTCCTGTATTCCTGAGCTGTACAAAACAAGAATAATTAGCAAAATAATGCACCAAATTGTGTGTGTGTTTTTTTTTTAACCCTGAATGATAATAGTCACAATTATTACAATAACAATAGTATGTTTTCTAGGTGCAGTGGTAGATCTGATAGTAAACAATGAAAATCAGACTTCTTCGCAAACTTTCAGGTTGGGGAGGCAAGGTCTTAGAAAAAAATTAGCGATTGGTGCAATTCTGTATTCTTTATTTATCCTGTCTTAGGTACCCAGGGATTGGACTTCAGCCAAGATGTATGCTTCTACTTATACCTCCTTAGTAGATCAAAAGACATTCATGAAAGTTTAAAGTCTCTGAGTGATTAGGTACCTAATAACATCATCAGTCACCCTCCTCTTACAGACATGATGACTTTTTCATCTTCATTAAGTGTGGCTGTCTACTATATTATTAGGCCAGTGTTCATTAGCTAAACCATCTCTTCAGAGTGAGATGGAAATGATTTGCACATGGCGCACATGAGTCTTACCACATGAAAACTTGAGAAATAAGTGTTCTCTATGAATCTTCTTAATCTTACGTGAATATAAGAGGAGTTGAATTTTAAAATCAAAGGCTCAGGCTCAATAGATTAAGAATGTCTTCAAATTCTGAGTTAACTTCTTCAAATTCTGAATCCAATTACGTATTTCATAGTATGAACCAATTTGAACTAAATGTTTTTATTAATTTACCTAATTTTAATAGTATCAAGTATATATACTATTTTATGTTTTAAAATAGTAAGTTTTTTTTTGCTTTAAATACTTCAAGTTTAGATTGTTCCTTTGACTAATGTAATGTTACATTTTTAAGAAGGAGAAAGATCTAGAATGTAAATTCTAGTGTCTTTATTCAGAATAAGGTTCTGAATAAATCTATTCAGAATAAAGATTCTGGGGAGTAAGATTGATATTCAAGGGCATAAATTTATAATGAGTAGTAAATAAACCATAGGGATCGAATGCATAGTATAATGAATATAGACAATATATTGTACTGTAATATGTAATATGATAAATATTGCTATATCAGTAATCATATTACAAGCCAAGGATGGCTGGCAACACAGGCATGGAACAGATTGTTCCCCAGAGTCTTCAGAGAGCAGAGGAGACTGCTGACACCCTGATGTCACACCTCCAGGACTGTGAGAGAATACATTTTTGGTTTTCTTGAAGTCACTGTTTATGGTAATTTGTTAAGCAGCCCAAGGAAACTAATACAATCACTATCATGCCTTTAGTGGTATTCACTTCGTTGTTTTTCTTTATACTTTTATCACCTGAGTATGCATCCCTAAACACTATGTCTTACTTTTAAAATAAACTTTTATATTAAAGTAGATTTAGATTTATAGAAAACTTGTGACGATAGTACAGCATTCCCGTATGGCCCCATAACGTTTCCCGTTACGGACATCTTACATCAGTATGGTACGTACTCGTATGTCCCAATTAATGAAGCAGTATCGATACATTGTATTACCAAAGTCCATCCTTTATTCGGATTGCCTTAGTTTTTGCTTTTTTTTTTTCTAAACTAGAATGTCATGTAGCAGAATAACAACAAAATACAACAAAGAGCCATATGTGAGCAAACTATGTGCCCTCAACTCGTAGTTCCCACATTCTTGGACCACATTCCGTGCTTCTCTGGGGCAGAAAGGCTGGCTGGAGCACGACCATCTATCTCCCTGCTGACTCTGTGTAACTAGTCCACGCCCAGGGCATGGGCTGAACATGTGGAATGAGGCCAGACAGGCTACACCTGCTCCCCCGAGGAAGCCCCTGAGAGAGGTTCTGGACCTGGTGTGACCACTGGCCTAAAACCCCAGACTGATCTGCGCCCTACAATTCCCTTATCCAAATTCCCACTAACTGGAGAGATTTGAGGAACAAGACATGCCAGCTGCCTCTAAGCCAATCCTTGGTCTTCAGTAAACAGGGATAAATACAAAACATGTTCCACCAGTGAGCGTGAACAGGACCTAGCATAGCAGGCGAAGGATTCCAAAGCCCCATTTAGGACGCAGCACCGGAGACCGGGGGAGTGGAAGAAGGGGGCCGGGTGTGTGCCGCTGTGGTCACCCTGCGGCAAGTCCTGTCCTGCTCTCCTGGCCTGATTCTGCAGGTCCTCACAGCTTTCTAACGTGCCCTCAGGTGACCCTGAGCTCTCATAGGGGAATAGGCAGTCTTCCTGAGAACGGGAGGTTTTCCTACACCACCTCCACCCGGCAGAGGGTGCTGGGTTCCAGGAAGTAGAAGGTGCAGCTCCGGGAGCAGGAAGGAGAGATGAACTGGGACAGGAAGTCAGTCATTTTTCTGTTGCAGGATCAGTGTTGCCTGTTTTGAACTTTATATAAATGGAATCGTACAGTATCACTTTATGTCTCTTAACCTTGCTTTTGTATTTTTTAAAAGCGTTTTGTCAATATTTTCCATTTTGGGTAATAATTTTAGTATACTTTTCATCACTAATTTTTTCTTTGTACCCATCCATTGAGTGATTTAATTCAATATACTTTTCATTTCTATTTGTTTTCATATCTTCTAAGACTTTTTTGATAGTGCCTTGTTTCTTCCATCAAACTTTAAGAAACCTTTCAAAATTTCATCATCACATGATACACATTTATTGTTGCAGTCAGTCTCTTCTAATCCTGCTGTTTTGCAGTGTTTTGGGGTCTGACTCTTGTTTCTGCAGATTTCTCCCTCGTGGCCCATTCCCTTTTTTGTGACTTTGACTGTGAGATCATCTTCTTTGGGATTTTACTGACATGTTTCTTTGAGGCCTGAATTTACACCCAAGAGGATTTGCATTTGTTCCTTGCATGTGCATGGGGTCACTACCTACCTACTTGAGACTGGTTTAAGCTAAATTAGCATCTTGGGGCTTTTCAAGACACACAAGTAACATAAAGTTGAGCCTCAGATGTATGAGGGTCAGCTTGTGGTTATGAATTCTCAAAGGTGCTGTTTCCTTCTCCACTCAGAGCTAAGACTGAGAAGAAAACATTTCCTCACCATCGCTCTTTGTGCCGCTGCCTCCATCCCACGCAGCTGTCCACTGGGTCCCAGGGTTTCAAAAACTCTCCAATCTGAACTCACGGCTCTTGCCCCCCAGTGTGACAAAGAGCCCACGCTCCTGGCTGTTGCATTAGATTCAGGCTTTTCCATTATTTTGGCCTCTGAGGATTTTTTTTTCTTTCATTACATTTCATTTTCTTGCTTTCATTACAAGCTCAGCCATACATTTAAAGAAACGATTTATATATTTTATCCTGCTCTTTCAGGTATTCTGTGTCGAGGGGATTCTTATATTTGGTCTGCCACACTGTTGATAGTGAAGCTGTTACATTATTCTTCACTTCTCTAATTGCTTGACATTTCATAGTAATAACTACTAAACTATAATATGACCATTTTCCCATGTCTTTAAATATAATTTTCTTAAACGTCTTTTAAAATGGATGTGCAGTATTTTATAATTAACCAGTCCTCCTTTGATGGGTAGTTTTCCAGTAGTTTGCTATTAACATTAGTGAAACGGACAACTTTATACCTCCATTTTGCTGTGCAACCCAGATGAATACTAGAAGGCAGGTAACACTAAGCATTTAAGGCTTGTGATGAGTCTGGCACGTCTAGGCCGTTGGGGAAGAGCACCCTTACTGATGACGTCAGTACGTGGGGGCAGGCACAGCGGCCCCGGCCCTGACTGCTCTGTGAGTGAACACAGCATCTCACGTGTCTTCACTGTGGAAACGGCAGCGTCGGATTGGCTCAGCTGCGGGGTTTCCATCGGGCTCGGCACCGGTGATTCTCACTCTGCGCTCTTCCTTTCTTGTTCCCAGGTGACCTCACGGTGGACTTTCCGATGCCCGGGATGCCCTCAGGCCCTGTCACACGATGATTCCCACTTTCACGAGCGGCACAAATGTATCAACTTTTTTGTCAAGGTGTATGGCTACATGCCCCTACTGTACACTCAGTTCAGGGTGGACTCTGTGCTCTTCAAGACCCGCCTGCCCCACGACAAGACCAAGTGCTTCAAGTTCATCTAGGGCCACTGCAGGTTTGGGGGCGAGGATAAGCAGAGTGAGGGAGATGGCTCCTAAGGTGCCCAGACAGTGAAGGACCTCAGGGACATCCACTGGGTGGGTGGCCCCGACCCTCTGCTGGGAGAGGTGGCAGCAAGAGTAGGACTTGCTGCCTTTCTCTGGAAGTTGGCCACACTGGGCCTGGAGCCCTGGTCAGAGGACACGGGGGCTCCCCACACAGGGCACTGACTGATAGCTTACACTGAGGACATGGGGACTCTGGGGAGTCTCTCATGCAGTTCATAAGCCCAGGACAGTTGGTTTGTGGTTTTTAAATTCAGTAACAACTATTATTATTTAAAAAGTTTCAGATTTGCCATTCAAGGCTTATTTATATATACGTGTGTATATATACATATATGTGTGTACACACACACACACACACACACACACACACACACACACACGGGGCGGGGAGGGGGGTTGTTTGAAATTCCTGCCCGTCTCACAAAGTGAGGGACCCACTGAAACTCCTGCCGTTCTCTGTTTTGGTGGCGATGGATCCTGCCTTGTGGCATCTGTCTGGCTCATCCTTAAAGGGCAGCTCCGTCCTTCCCAGGGGCATCTGTGTGCAGAAACGAAGGGCTGGGCTGGCCCTCCTGAGGGGCCCCGGACGAGCTAGGACCTGTCCGTTCGTTCCTTCCCCCTTTCTGTTGCCAACCAGCAATCTGTAACATGCGTGTCCTGTCACCTGAGTCCCTGGGGAGGACCTTTGGGACCAGCTGAGCTTCCCTGTGCTGGATTCAGTGGGTTTCGAGGATTCATTGTTACATCACATCGCAGGACTGGTCCTTGCTCTCCCATTCTCTTCCCTGATTGAAAGAAGAATGAGGAAGGGAGGAGACCTGAAGACAGCTCTCCCAAATCGCTTTCTTCCTGGCCCTCCTTTAAAAAACGTGCGCATTGGCTTCAGGCTTTCCTGAAGGTTGTCTCTGTGTAAGAGAACGGAAGGCTGTCAGGCCTCCCTCGCGGGCGTGATCTGCAGGCTGGCCTAGCTCTGCGGCATAGAACTCGCGAACTTTCTTCGCGCTCCCACCCGGCTGGCCGGGAAGTCTTACAGCAAGGCACCTGCCTTGGGATAAATACCTTGGTGAAATTCACCTTCCCCCCACCTTTGTCTGAACCCACATCCTATGTTACCTGTAGCTTTTGGATCCCTAATGCCTGGTTGGTCCCAGGACCCCCTGAAGTTTGGCATGTGCCAGAACAGTGGGAGGGTATTTGTTATGTTCAGCTCAAATGTAGCCTGAAATTGAACAGACGTTTTCACCCCACATCACAACTTTCCACTCCAGGTTTCCCTGGGCTGAAATGGAAATAAGCTAATTATTTTTAGGTGGTGGTGGCAGTAGGGGACCCGAAGAAGGTGTTAGAGGCGTTGGGCAGGGATTTAGCCCATGACTTCTCCCATTTTTCTGGACCCCACTTTCTTCCAGTGAAGCTGAGTGTAGGTGTTTCCCACCACTGAACTGAAGCTCAGGTCTGACCTGGCCATGCACATGCCTTAAGCCAGCTGTCTTCCCCAGACTTTGACATCCTGTGCTTCTGTTTCTTGGGGGCATGTTGTCCTGTGACCTGCCTGTACCAGATGGGTTCTCTTCAAGTATCACTTTGAAGCCAGGCTCTGTCCTGTAGACACCACCCAACTGTAGGGCTTGTTTGACTTACGGGAACTGTTCATCGGCAGACAGGACCAGGGCTGCTCCGAGGACGTGTCCTCCAGATGCTCCCACTGGCGTCTTCTTGTAGCTCCCTGCTGAGGCAACTACCTAGGAAACCGAGTTAAGCTCCTCAGCGACCCACAAAGGGTGCACACTCTCTGCACCCTAACTTTCTAACGCCCTTTCCTTCTGATTTTATTCTTTTTAGCAGTAGCCTTCTTCCCTTTGGGAAGCCAAAGAGTGTGGTGTTTTGAGCTATGTATGTGGCTGCTATTTTTATCTTGTTTATTCTAATGTGAGGAACTCATACATGGACCTTCAGTGGGACCTGGTGAGAAAGGAGCAGCCTGTGTTGGGACCCCCTTTAGTGGAGCCAGATTGTTGGGTTCCTGAATGCTGCCAGGAGATCCAGGAGTATCTAAACGGTCTGAGATTATGGAGAACATCCAAGCGTGCTGCAGGGAGGGTTATGATGTCAGAGCTGCTGACAAGGAGAGTGCTGTTTGGACTTGATCAGACTGATGTGAAGGACCCCACCCGGCAGGCTCTGGCTGTGTTCTTAAAGGACCCTCCTCAGCAGCAAGAAGCAGGCATCGGCTCTTTTGGATTGCTCGGTTAGGTGCTCCTGGAGAATGGCTGCTGCCTTTTGCAAGGCAGACTAGGGAGAGGCCCAGCTCTGTGCTTAGAATGCCTTCAATGCTGATCTGTCACCTCGGAAGATCCAGACATTGCCCACACCCCCCGGGACACGCCTGGGATGTGAGAACAGCTCTGCAGATCTCCAGGGGTCTCATCAGCACCTGCAGGTAACACCTGTCTGGTCTTTGCGCCCAAGGCCCAGGACATCCCTGCCCCCCAGCTAGCTGGTTTGCTCTTCACCGTGAGGGCATCCCCCGAAGTGAGAGCCCCCCCACGGCGCTCACCAGGCGGTCTGAGCGTGTGCAGCTCTGGCAGCGGTGCCCTGCTGTGGCCTGCCCCCGAGCTGGTGGGGTGCTGTCTGGGCGGGTGCGGGGAGCCTCTTCAGTAGCCGCCAGCCTTGTGCTGCTCAGGGAGCTCCTGGTGTGTGGGTATGTTGAAGGGGGAAGCTCTTTGATATCCATGCCATGTCCACCCACCCCACCCCTTTTCCAGTCATGAGCACAACAGTCTTTCATTGGATTTTTGTAAAAAAAAATAAAATAAATGGAGACTAACTGAAGCAGCTTGGAGGTCTTTTGTGATTTGCCTCCGCAGGGACTGAAGAGTGACCTGAGAGAAGGTGCCTGCCTGATGGCAGGGAGTCGCCAGTGCACTGCCAGCTGGGGCCCCTGCCAGCGTCAGACTGGGCTGTGACACACGGTCCCGGAGCAGCCTGCATACCTGAGACTAAGTGATGCTGTAAACACATGCCGACATGGGCAGTCTTGCCGGTGTCATTTCTGGGATTAGTCATTTGATTACATAGGGACTTAGGTGTCATTCAACTGGTTGTGTGGGATGTGGGATGCAAGTGGCATGTCTGTCACCTTTATTTTTTCATGGTAAAGTGTGTGTGTGTGTGTGTGTGTGTGTGTGTGTGTATGTTGGCATGTTCCGGTCCAGAGGAGAGGAGAGGGACCGCTTAGAATGGCCCCGGTTGGGCTAGGGGTGGTTCTGTTGACAGACAGGAGTCTCTAAGCATCTGCATCCAGTTGGTGCTTCTTAACCATCCAAGCCCAGTCCGTTGGGTGTCTGTGGTCCTAGACCTCTGCGTGGCTGTGGGATCAGAGCCATCCTCGGGGACAGCGCTGACTCACGGGCCCTGGAGATGGTAGGGACAGGAACGGGGAGGGGAAGCCTGGGAAAAGCCGAGTTGGGGGTGCTCCTCTCTTGGGCTCTGCAGTGTCAACTCACTGGTCACGACTCAGCTAAGGGTTGCCTTTACGGATCTTCCTTCTCTGAAATCACTGCTCCCCCCTTCCCCCATCTCCTATTAGAGCAGCCTGATCTGTCTCTTACCTCACTGTACACTAATGGTTTATAGTTCTGCTGCTCGCACCAGAGTATAAGCCTCCTGAGAATAGAGCATATGATAATAAGCGCTGAATAGTTTTTTGTTGAATGAATGATGTGACAAGAAAAACTAGAGGCTGATGGAGAAATAGCTGGCAACAAGCTAAACAGTAATCAATACTGTCGTGCTTTTGGAATACTGTACAGCTGATGTGGTATTAACCAGATAGCTAAAGGGGGCCTGGCCCAGAAGTCTTATAGTCACGTTTTTTATTTAAATCTTCATTAACAAAAGGGGATAAGAGTGCATGTCAAGAAGAGTTAAGGACACAGAGTGGATTCCAGAAGAGATGATTAAGGTGGGAAGCTCGCTAGGGCCCAGGTTTGGTTTGCTATTGAATCTCCTCTGCTTCTTGACCTGTTTTAATCAGGTAAATTGTTTTACCTTTCTTTATTTGTCTTCATATTTGTGAAAGAGTACAAATCCTGGTCATATTGTAGGGCTGTTGTGTTAGAATTTAAACTACATAGATTTTATTTATTTAAACTATAGGTCCCAATATTTCGTTATAAAAAATTTCAATTTTATAATGAAAGTTATAGAAAAGTTTAAATAATTTTTACAGTATAAACCTGTATACCTAACAACCATTTTACTGTTCCTGCTTGATAGCTATCTACATCTTCATCCCTCTAGCCTCTATTCATCCTTTCATCCTCCCTGTTTTTGGTTTATTTCTAAGTGAATTCCTGACATTAATGCATTTCCTTCTAAATACATAAGTACACACAACATTAACAGGAGGTCAATATTAAGTTTCTTTGTGTTTAATGTAAAATTTACATACTGAAATGCACACATCTTAAGCATTCTCTTGAGTTTCGACAATTGCGTACACCTATGTAACTCAACTCCTGTCCAAGATATAGAACATGATTAGCAAGCCCAGAAAAATTCCCTCATGTTCCTTCCTAGTCAATCTCCACCTCCATACCCAGAGATAACCCATGTTCCGATTAAAAAGAAAACCTTGGATTAGTTTTCCTTGTTCTAGAATTTCATACAAATGATGTCACACAATTTTTACTCCTTTGTGCAAGGCTTCTAGAAACTCAGCGTAATGTTTTTGAGATTCAGCCAGTGTTGTATGAATTAGTGATTTGTTCCTTTTATTGTTGAGTAGTATTCCCAAATGTAGTAAAACAGCAGTTGTCCATTCATTCGAGATAGGTACTTGGGCTGTTTCCAGTTTTTGGCTATTCCGAATAAAACTGCTGCGAAGATTCATGTGCAAGTCTTTTTGTGGATTTGTTTTTCTCTTGGATAAATACAGTAAAACCTTGGATTGCGAGTAACGTGGTTTGCGAGTGTCCCGCAAGATGAGCAAACATTTCTAATACATTTTAACGTGGTAAACGAGCAATGTCTTGCAATGCGAGTATTTTTTTTCCAGAATGAATTATGCTCGCAAACCAAGGTATTACTGTACCTAGGAATGGTATTGTTGTGATAAGGTGGGTATATAAATGTTTAGTTTTATAAGGAATTGCCAGACCTCTTTCCAAAGTGATTGTACCCATTTTGCACTCCACGAATAACAGAGTTCCCGTTGTTGCACAGCCTCACTGACCTATGGTGTCAGTCTTTAATTTTAGCCATTCTGGTGGGGAGTAATGGTATCGTGTTTCAATTTGCATTTCCCTGATGAAGTTAAGAACCTTTTCATGTGCTTACGCTATTTATGTATATTTCCTTTGTGAAGTATCTGGACAAATCTTTTGCCCATTTAAAAAAACTTGGTTTGTCTTTTTTCTTTAGACTTTTTAATGTACTTTTTTAATAGCAGTTTTACGTTTAGAAAAAATTGAGCAGAAAAGAAAGTAAAGTTCCTCCTCCCCCACTTCCCCTGTTAATATCTTGTATTAGTATGGTACATGTGTTATAATTGATAAGTCACTGACATGTTAAATAGTCATAGCTTCCATTAGGGCTCATCCCTCATGCAGTATATTCTATGGGTTTTGACAAAAGTATAATGACATGTATCTGCTATTATAGTATTCCACAGAACAGCTTCACTTTCCTAAAAGTCCTCTCTGCTCCACCTATTATTCTTCCTTCCCTCTCTCCAACCCCTGGCCTTTTCACTGTCTCCATAGTTTTGTCTTTTCCAGAATGTCACATAGTTGGAATCATGTGTGTAGCCTTTGCAGATTGGCTTTTCACGTGGCAATATGCATTTAAGTTTCCTCCATCTTTTTGTGGTTTGGTGGCTCATTTCTTCGTATTGCTGAATATTCCTTTGTCTGGATGGCATTGTTTGTTTTTATTGTTGAATTACAGGAATCCTTTACCCTGGATACCAGTCCACTGTCAGATACAGGTTTTGTATTTTTCCCAGTTTGTGGCTTACCTATCCATTTTCTTTATGGTATCTTCTGATGAGCAGAAACCTTTAATTTTGACGAGGTCTAATTTGTAACTTTTTTCTTGTTATTGCTTTCTGTGACTCAAGAAACCTGTGCCTACCCCAACTCATGACAATACTCTGTTATGTTTTCCACTAAAAGCTTGATCATGTTAGCTTCTACACTGAGGTCTAGGATCCATCTCAAATTAACATTTGTGTGTGGTGTGTATCAGTGGTTAAGCTTCTAATTCTTTTTTTTTTCCTATATGAATATCTAGTCATTCCAGCACCATTTGTTAAAAAGACTTTCCTGTCTCCATTGAATTGCTTTGGGGCCTTTGTTGAACATGTAATGACTGTGTAAGTGTGGTTATTTCTGAGCTGTTACGCTGGTTTGTCTCCTTGTTATTAGTACCATACTGTGTGGATTAATGTAGCTTTCTAGTTAGTCGTGAAATAAAGTAGTATAAGTCTTCCAATTTGTTCATTTCTCAAAATTGCTTTGGTATTATAGTTACTTTGTATTTCTATATATAAAT